ATGAAAAATAATTAAAAAATCATATTTAATAGCATAATAGTGATTTTAATTGTTTGTTTCTCCTTCCCCCCCTGTTCAGAAACCTCCCTCGCACTTCAGGCACTTTATTGCGTACCAGAGGTTTTACGGACACTAGCTCCCAATTGTATTCAACCCCAGGGGCAGCTAACATCAGATGTTCACAGAATATCTGCAGTACTGTGCTATCTGGTTACTGGATGCTGGCACTATGTCCATTTAGAGCAGTCCATACCATGAAAGTCATGGGCTCCAGTGAGGGCAAACCAGCCTTTATATCCATTACTGGGAGGGAAGAAGGGGAGTGAAAGCACAAGACCACAGCTGAGCTCTCTTTCCCCAGCTATTATCAGCATTTCAAAGCCTAAAGAAGCAGTGCCTTCTCATTACCTGCATTGGCAGCATCTGCTAATACTACCTGCTAATACTACCTGTTGGAGGAGGAGGTTTGGTTTTGTGGTCCCTGGTAAGTGCATATGGTATCCCAACTGCTGAAGCCTTAGCAAGAATGCCACTGTCCAGCCCTTTAAGCAGAATTGCATATGACACTCAAGAGCTTGGGTGGGAGGAGACCCTTCATGGACATGCGTGTTTATAATCAGCATTGCATGAGCAAGTATGAGCAGTGCTTAACTGCAGAGTACCAAAAGGTTAGAAAGTGATTTAAAACTGGAGTTCTTAGCGCTGTAGCTTATCATTCATGTAACCAGTGTAAGACCTCTGCCAGTCCCTATACCACATTGCTCCTCATCCTTGCACCTGGTGGAAAAAGACTGCTTTGTCCGTGACAGCTCTGCCAAAGCATAGAAACCCAACTAGCCAGGACTTGGGACCACGAGGAGGCCAGTTGAATTTTGCTAGCTATCTTTTTACAGATCATTGCTGATGCTTTGCAAGCCACATAGCAAATCAGATCAGCATCAAGGTCTGGGATTTCTTTTTGGTCTCCTGAGCAGCAAGTTTAGTTATTCAGTATTTTGAGTCTTTGATCTGCCATCCAGACACTCAAAATTAACAAATGCTTCAGCCTTCTGGTGGTCTTGAAGCACTGTCCTTCCTCTATTCAAGTGTATGAAAATTGTCAGAAGGACATAGTACCAATAGAGGCACTGTCAAGTTTGTATCACAGAAACACATCAGAGACAGTAAGGTCCAGACAGTTTATACTCTGATTCCATCTGCATCAGTGAAATCTGATCACTGTGTCCCTTTCAAATGCTGTGAAGAGTTTACAGGCATTAGTAAGGGTAAAACACCTGGACTGTACACCCCTTGGACCATTCCAGATAACTGTGTTTGGAAAATGGTTTATCAAAGGCACATCAGAACTAGTGCTTTGGCAGCTGAAGTGTAAGTGCTAAAGCCATGTATTTAGTACAGTTGTTTTAGTCTGGTACCAAGCTATGTTTACTTTATAATCAGAAAGCAGATGCTTTGCACTGTGGGCACATCATGTGTTTTAGTAACAAGTAAAAATGCTCAAGAGATTCCAAAGAAGACACAGAATGCCAAATTTTTTTTACACCTTGCTTAAGTTTGCACATACAGTTTTAGCACTGCTGGGTTGGTTCATTTGACAAGTTCACACAAAACAAGACCAAACCATATACTTTGCTGTAGTGCTCAAACCACCCACTGCTTCCACATTGCAGTTTGGTATAAAATCAGACAAAGATGGCTGCTTTTCAGACTGAGCAAGGCAATGAGAAGACAAGTAATATGCCAGTTCTTTCTGCTGCTGTCATAATTGAGGAAAGCTTTTGGGTTCACAACCCTCCTTCTGACCTCACACAGGTATCAGTTTTATCCTTAACAAATCACAAATTACTGTTAGGCTGTTACTGCTAGCTGAAGAAAGCTTTGCATGCTTGAAAGCACACATTTTTTTCCATTAGTCTAAAAAGAGGTAACATATCTCCACACCATTTTTGCCTTGCTTATACTATTAGACCACCATTGCTGTAACTCTATCTGCAGGTGTTCCAAATACTAGGTCTTGCAGCTTTTTTTGCATGAAGCACATTACACAGAAATTTTAAATGCAAATAAAGTGCCAAATTTCTGCTTAATTAAATGGAAAGTGTATGAAGACTGTATTTAAGGTAAAATTTGAAGAAGTATCCTGATTTTTTTCCAAAAGTTCCTTTATTTTTAATTTCACTTGCCTGTGATAAGTATGGATACATCATTTTTTTTAAAAAGCTAGTAAGATTTTACCTCATCCGTACCTTATGCCTTGAGCAGGCTAAAATTTCTGCACATGGTAACCAGCTGTGACCAATAAACAGCCACATGAAGCAAGAGATTAAATGTGTGCTTGTAACTATAGCCAAGGGCATTGCAACACTGTAATCGTATGTAATTGTCAGTGAAAGTTTTATTACTGATGGAAGATCTAATGACACACTCCCCTGTTGAACAGTGTTGAGTAGCCCTTCCCTTCTCAGACTAGAACATGAGGCACTTAAATAGCCCACCCCCTATAACATCAGACCACAAAGCTCTCAGTTGTCAGTAACCTTGTAACATCTGAGGATCCTGCAGGTCCGGTTCAGCCCCAGGCACACTACCACTCAGTGCCACAGTGTGCTGCTGCAGCATCACCGTTCTGCAGAAGAACAACCTTCCTCACATGACAGGTGGAGGAAACCTCTTTTGGCAAAACCAACAGACATCCACCTCACCCATTCTAAAATACAAGCCAGTAAACTATACATTTCCCTCCTTACCAGCTGCTCAGAAATAAAAACATCAGCTAGAAACAGGAAAGCCATAGCATGCTGGTTTATGGCTACTTAAAACTATTACCCATGTTTCTCAGGCTAACAAGATGAAGGTGCAGTGCTGTTGTTTTCAGGCTCCCTGCTTTCTAAAGAACCCATGACCTTCCCTCTATCCCCCTTCTTCTCTACAAATGCTCATTATCATTTTAGTCTGGCTGGGTGCTGGCTGCCACCTGATCACAAGCTAAACAAAGCAAGTTCTACACAAAGATATATTCAGGAGGAGTCTGCAGCTTCTCTTTCAATGCTGCACGAGATCTTTGTACACACACACCTGGGGTTTTATTTGAAGGATAGGAAATGTCAGTTGTTTTTTTTTTTCTCCAGATTCCACTGACTGACTTGGTTTTCTGCATCAGCTACATGCTATGGAGATAAGCAGCAACAGTGGGAAGTTAAGGCCAGTAAACAGAGGAATGAGTACACTCAACTAGGCCAGACGTAACACAGAATACTTGAATATAAAATTAAGGCAGAAGACAGAATCTACAAAATCTCAGCACAAGAGCTAGAGGAGGTAACCAAAATCCACAGAGCTGCTTGTTAAGTGTTCCAGCTAGATGGTGTACACAAAAAAAAAAAACCTGCAGACACATTGTTAGCCCCTGCAAACCCAGCTTATAAAACACTGCTTTAACTTCTGTAACATTGCTTTGGCCTTGAATTTGAGAGTCTTTGCCCATTTTCTTAGATTGCAGCTCATGCACAGTAAAATGTCCTATGAGACAAGACAATGTGGTGATTAATCAGTTCCATAACTCAGCATGCAGGAACCTCTCTAATCTGCTGATCTTTCAAACTGCAGTAAATTCAAATTAACATTTTAAGTGTTGTATATCTAATGCAGTGGAGTTTTCTTTTATTAAATTACCAATTCTAAAAGAAGTGTTTATTTGTAGAGCTTTGGGGCGAGTAGAAGACTGGAAGGGTTCAGTCAAGGTGAATGCATGATTGGTCAAGGCTAGCATTGAGTATCAGTATTCTATGGACTTGCTCTGTGCTTCAGTCCTGTTAAACTCACCTGCAGTACCCCTGTGAAGTTCAGAAAATATTTTCCTGCTTTAATCTTCCATGGAATTAAGCTTCCAGGCCTGTAGTCTACTATATTTTCATCACCACTCATCAGTAGCTTCTGAATACACTTGCAAACATGAGAATAGCTCCAGTCACTATAGACAACAGTAAGGTACAGCTTAACTATTGAAGCCCAACTGGCAACCATTTATTCAGTATCTTATCCACCAAAGGAACACAGCTGCTAGTAAGACAGTCCCTGAACCTTAGTAAGTTTTAATCTGCATCTGCAGCCCTCTTCAAACTGCCTGACAAAAGGTATTGAAGTAATTCTGCTACACACTACTTAAGCTACTGTTATCTTTGTTAAAAATAGTGAAATAATGTACAAGACTGAACAGACTGTTCTTACCAGATAGACAGCTAAGGTAAGTCTCACCATAGCAAGGCGAGAATATAGCCCCTGTGAATGCTGGGTGAGATGAGAGAGCCAAGGAAGCAGCAGAACAGATTTTCTGGATCAGTTTGTTTCATATCCAACCACCTTGGCAAACAGAGCTTCAACCCAGTAGACAGGCAGAAATAAGACAAGTCTTCCTTTCTCTTGCTCTCCAAATCTCCAGCCCACCACCCTGGTGGAAGAAAGTGTCTGCAAGAGTCAGTAAGGACAAGGACACAGTTCAAAAACCCCCCAAAAGCCTCTGCACAACAGATCTTTGCATATGAAGCCAGCATTGAATAGATGGCAGAATAGAATATGCAGCAGAATATCAAAGGCTTTAATGACTCAGTGCCCTGTATTGTATTTCTAGCCTAAGATCTGCAGCTGGAGTGACAGCAGGAAACTACACAGAACTGCTTACCTGCAGAAGGCATTGTCCTCAGTTCTGCTAGAAGTGAGTTAAGCTCCTTAACAAGCCTGCTGCTCCAGTTTCCTAGAGCTTCTATCTTGTGTGATAAATTGGATAGGGAAGCAGTTTTTAAACTAAAGCTCTCAAGAGCTTTAAGAATGCTTACTGGAGACAAGCAGGACACCCTCTCAGAGACCAGGCACATTGCTCGCTGGTCAGTCACCAGGAAGGTGAAATCACTAACAATTAAGAGAAATGTTTGCTTACATTCAATTCAAACACATCCTGTCGAAAGGAAGCAGGAGAGCTTCTTAATTCATTCAAAGTCAACACATTTTGCTGTTTAACAGATCTTTAATATCAGTAATGGGGGAAGTGACATCTCAGTGCACAATAGCACAGAGACTACAGTTTTGGAGGCTCTCCCATTTGAGACACAGAAAGGAAACATGAGGAAGAACATGCAACCAAACAATGATCAGCTCTAGATACATCATGAGTTTTGGTCCAAAAAAAAAACATTGAAACAATTAATCTAATTACTGCAAACATAGCATCTTTGAGTAAGGTTAAGATATTGCATTTGTAGTGTTTCCATTGTGCTTTCCTTCAGCGCACCAGCGGAGCCTGCTTGAGTGAGATGAGGACTGAACGCATGCGGGACACATCTTTTGCCTGCTTACTAGACTTGGGATTAAAGTCACAGAGCTGAGCCACACGTTCCCATTCAGTGCCCGGAAAAATGTCTTCTGCATCATTCACAAAGGCTTCTTCAGCTGCCCTAAAAGCAATGCAATGCACCTTGTGTTAATGCCCAACATATAAGGCACTCCCTCCCTCTTACAGGATGCAGTTTCTTTCAGCATGTTTCATAAGAAATGTGACCTGACAGCTGCTTGTGGACATTATGGCTACTTAAGCTCCCACAGCCCCAACCCTGGAGATGAAAATAGGTTGCAGTAGTATGCTACGCACAAGCAGTGCAGAGGATTGCTGTGTAAAATGTTGGAATACAGGTGTTTGGTTTTAAGAATAGTTATTGAGTCTTTGCCTAAGGAGTCACCACACGAACTGCCAGGAAGTAAGGTACTCCTATGTAGGCATTTTACTTACAGAGGAAATGCCGAAGTCTTAACTAGGTAAGTCTCTGCCACTTGATGGCTTATATTGGACACATGCCAACTAGAAATTTACAACTCCCTGCAAGCATGTCTTAAAACAGATTCCATCTGAGCATTTAAATCAGTCCCAAGGCCGACAGGCCATCATAAAACTATCTGCTGATGATTTCCAATGCTGTAGTGAAGCAGCATGAATCAAAAGGAATTTAAGTAAGTCATGAATCCCATGCTTGTGGGTGCTATAAACTAAAGCATATCTTGGCAGAGGGGATGACTCATCTGAGGTCAGCTTACAGGATAAACACATTTCCCTGCTCTCACCATAAGGAGACTTTTTACATTACATACAGGTTAGGGCCAGTGGCTTCCCAGATGTATCCTTATGGCATTGCTATGCTGCCAACAGCATTGCTTCAATGCATGGATAACATGCCAGCATCTAGTTCATGTGAACCGTGGGGCCCTGGTAGCTGCCTGAGTGCAAGAGCAGTAAGCATTACGAGATCAAACCAAATCCATCTACTCCAACAAGCAGTACAGAAAAAGCAGTGAAGATGACTCTCCCATGAGGGTTCAGCACTGTTCACAGGGATGATAAGGTTACAGACACCACTGAAGACAAGGGTCACTACAACACTGCTACTTTATGTGACATGACACTTTTAAGGGGCAGTGAAGATTTTTTTACTTAACTGTTCTAGGCTGTAGCAAGGATGATTTATGTTTGTGCTTAAAGGTGAAGAGAAGAAAAGAAACAAGGAGAGAAAGTTTAAGTCAGATATAGAAAATGAGAATGAGTTTAATGCAGATGATCAGCTGGCTGAACATGCACTAGTAGCTTAGCCACATTCAGGAAACAGGCTGCCAGTTTTATTCTGCAGCACTTACGCTGCACATTTGCATTGGATATATGAAAATAAGCGTTTTATTGGAAAAATCTATCAAAATCAACCCCAGGAGACTTCAGAAAAGTCAAACACCACCTGTAAATCCATCATTTCACAAGTCTTGGTTTACATCCACCTACAGTTAAGTAATGAATTCTACACTGGACCTTCAATATTAATGTACTCAAAGCCACATCATGGCTCACCAATACACCTTCTAAAGGTGTCACCTTAGAATCTGTGGCATGGCCATCTTTCAATTCAAGTCTATAAATTAAGGGAAGATATTAAAAACACATGAACAAACCAATGAATATTGCAATTCTTCCACCCCACGGAAACTAGCATACTCATTGGAGCTTGAAAGTCATGGCTGTATGCTTATTGATCTATTAGGCTGGCAAAATGTCTACACAGGGCTGCTCCTAAACGTTCTCCCAGCAGCTAATGCTGATTTTCCAATACCACCTTCTTGTACTTTTCATCTGTTCTCTAATAGCATCCTAATTCTACATGAATGCACCTCTTCCACCCTGATTTATGTCAGGGGATACCTTTCCACCTTCCTTGGCTTGCAGAGCTTTATGTGCTAGCATTGCTTGAATATTTTTCTGATTATTAGGCAAATGAGCACAGATCAGGAGCTCAATACCTATTACAGAGAATGCAGAATTAAACAGTGCTTCTCTGTGGAAGTGACTAGGACTAAATGCAGCATCCATGTGAGACTGCAGACACGAACCCACATACCCAGCAAAGCATCTGGCTAAGCAGTGTTCGCTGGCCTGGAAACAACTGTAAACCCCTACATCTAAAGACTACTGAAGTAATTACCAAAATTCCGGTAGTATGTATACTACATGACTTAATCTGAAAGTGCTCGGTGTTGTACAGTGTATGAGATCCTTACAGGAAAACTGCACTTAATAGTGCAGATTAGAGTCCATCCAAAAAGTAAAGGCTATTTACTTATATACTTATACTGCCCTGAAATATTCAGAAGTCACCTTCAGACATTCAGCACTATTTCTGATCCTCCTCATTACCTAGTTGACTAGCAAACAGAATTAGTAGTTAAGCAACATACACATAACCAATCACGTCAGCGAAGGGTTGTTTGTAGAAAGCTTCATCTGCCACCCTAGGTAGCAAGTAGTCCAACAGGCAGGCAAGCAGGCAGGAGAAAAGAGATAAGGATGAGAAGTACAGAACACAGCTGAAGGCAGTTTTAACAAACACATTAACCTTGTATCACCTAGGCTTACTGTAACAGGAAAGGAGCTACCACATGAAGTGTATCAATTAAGCCATTGATTCAGACAGGCAACACAAAAGCTCTGCTACATCCTAGAAGCTGGGAGCAGCTAGTTTAGGACTAGAGTCCCAGTGTTAGCATTAGGGTACTTCCAGGGGACAGAAACTACCATTAGGAGAGAGATCTCCAGGCTGATAAGAATGCTAAACACTCCTTCTGTGCAACGCTTGTTAAATGGACCCTGCGCCAAAATGCATAACCCTGCACCCAAACACTGGCCACAATAAAGCTATTGGAGTATCATGAGCTCTGGCCACCAACTAGAAGAGTGCCAATCCTGTTGCCCTTTCTTCGCCCAACCAAAAGACTGTACCTCAGTGAACAGAAGTGTCAAATCCATAGTTTTGGAGGAAGTGTAGGCCTCCCTTCTTCCTTTAGTAAGCAGTAGAGTCTACCTAAGACTCTACTTACTCAAGACAAATCTGCTGGCCATTTTGATAGGAAAAACGGTGTTTCAAAAAAGCAGCTCATCTTGAAGTCTGTGGGTTCCCAAAGTATAAAGCAGCCCCGATGATTACCTGGACAGAATGACACTGGCAATCCTCGGTCAGAAGCAGAGATCTAAGTGGTATTAAGTCAGCACTATCATATTTACTTTTACGTAGCTTGAAGTCCAAATTCCACAGGGAACCAATAAGTAAGCTTACTAGCCTAGCAGCCAGGTCATTAGTTTCTGCCCCAGGGCCCATAATTAGACAATTCAAACCCAACATAGACACAGTCATCATTTAGTTCTTCACTAGCAGAACTGAGTCAGGTTATTTCTCAAATGCTTCCAAAAGGAGCAGCCAAAGGTTTTAAGATATCTAATGAATTAACTTGTAGCAAAGACTAATGAGAAGGTCACTTCCATGTGTTCTAAAGATAGCAAGTAAGATTGCTAGTCTCAAGGTACGTAATTACAGTCACTGAAAATCTGTGTAACTAGTGGCATGCAAACAAGTGGGTAGACTAAAACTTTTTCTGGGCACATTCAAACTTTGTGTCTTAAGGAACCTTCAGTAATTCTGGTTCATTATCTTAATGCTTTCTCTTGCTATTCTTGGACATTTAATCTAGTTTCTAAGAAAACCTAGAAAGATAGTCTGCCACTGGAGACCCATTTCTTAGTAGGAGAGGTTACTTTAATGATCTGAAGGACTAGTGCCTTAGAACATACTAGAAGTACTCTAACCTCTTTCCCCCATTACTTTCATATCCAGTACCATAACTCTTCAGATGGCTGGGGCTGGAGAAAACTTACCTGTTGCTTGCTTTTGTTTTCTGGAGCTTTTCATCTTGCCTTGCATACCACTCCTCCAACTCCTTTATTGCTTTCTCTTTCCATTCTCCTTCCTGCTTTCGTGAGTTCGCATCTGAAGATTTAAGAATTGATTTGTCAGTCATGTTTGTTCCAGCCGGATCTTGCTAACATTTCAGCTGATGGCTCAGGGTGCACCCTAGTGTAGACAGTTGCTTCATCTACTCAGGTAAGGGTTAGGAGATTTCCTGATTTAGGCCCTGAGAACTCTAAATACCATGAACATTCAGAGGATTAGCTAAATAAAGTGCTTGCAGTCCACTTCAGTTTAGGATAGGCATTTGTAGACTAATTCAGATTCAGTCAGTCTGTTGGCCTGCAAACTGTTCAAAACCAGACACAGTCACCTTGCTCTGCTAGTGCTAGAACAAAGCTCAGTAAAGCCTCTGTGCTTAGACAAAGTGAGGGAGCCTGGCACTCAGCATGCTTTTACACCCAGCCTACAGTTCAGGACAAGCTCATCCACTGTAACTAGCCCAGAAGAGGATCAACAAGCTCAGCTCTATCTGGAATCATGTTGTACAGAAGATTCTGTCCTAACAACTTCAAGCAAAGCCTCCTCCATAATGTAAGTGGAAAGCATACCAGTTTGTAGGCTCTTACAAGCTGTCCACAGGTAGGTATCACTGTATTTGACAGCTGTATTTAGTTTAGTTACTAGTCTATTACTTAACTTAATCTAATAGCTAAGATCTGTGTGACAACAGATGGCCTCAGCAATTACAAAATGAGCAATCTTTATCCTTTGAAAAAAGTGCTGATGGCTGCAGTATTTATTCACTCTTTTCTGCTGATAAAAGCTGTTCATTTTCTGACAGCTTATTTGTAAGTAAAGGGCAGGCCACATGAATACTCTTAAGGTTCAGAAAGCCACTTGCTTGCTGACTCCTACACCAGTATTAAGTCTGCTTACTGGAAGACTCATCCAGACTTGCTGCTCAAACTCAAGCATGTTAGATTCCCAAAAGCCAGAAGCCCTTGTTGAGAAATCTACTGCTTAAGAAGCTGCCACTAAGTTACCCACAAGCAAGAATACTACTACAAACACCCTCCTTACCAAGTTGCTCCAGGCGCTCCTTTTGCTCCTCTCTCCACTTACGAATACTCTCCGGTTCAGACTGTAGTCGATCTACTTGGGATATGGCAGCATAGGAATCTGTTGGACCATTACTCTCCTTAAAGGGAAGGAATACTAACATCACTTACACATGAAAACTGAATATTTCAGATAACTGCCTGCAAGCTACATAAAATTACGAACACATAACACATTCAGCTGATGTTGTACCACATTTCTGCCATTAACATGAAAAATGTCTTGCTGCAAATTCCAGCAGGACTGAAGGAAATTAATACAGGATTGCCTCTAGCAATCAGGGATCAAACACAAATTCAAGTTGACTGGGGAGTCAAAGTATGTCAGAGTTCTATGCCTGAAGAAAGCAGAAGACAATGCCTAGCATCTCACTATGCAGTTGTAGGCCTAGAGATCCTCCAATTCATTTCACCTTAAATATTTGCTGTGAAAGTAATTTTTTATTTTGTTATGGCTTTGTGCATAAGAGTTTAAAACATTCTAACTTATTTGTCTACTTCAGAGACATTTGAGAACTTAACTGATATTAAAAGCCCATGTCCTTTAAAGACATCACAGAATTTGGATTGCTGTACACAGCTGTCCTGGTTTCAGCTGGGATAGAGTTAATTTTCTTCTTAGTAGCTGGTATAGTGCTGTGTTTTGGGTTTAGGATGACAACAATGTCGATAACACACTGATGTTTAAGTTGTTGCTCAGTTGTGCTCACACTGGTCAAGGACTTTTCAGCTTCCCATGCTCTGCCAGGTGCACAAGAAGCTGGGAGGGGGCACAGCCAGGACAGCTGACCCAAACTGACCAAATGGCTATTCCATACCATATGACGTCATGCTCAGTATATAAGCTGGGGGAAGAAGAAGGAAGGGAGGGACGTTTGGCATGATGGCGTTTGTCTTCCCAAGTAACCGTTATGCATGATGGAGCCCTGCTTTCCTGAGGATTGCTGAACACCTGCCTGCCAATGGAAAGCAGTGAATGAATTCCTTGTTTTGCTTTGTTTGCCTGCACAGCTTTTGCTTTACCTATTAAACTGTTCTATTTTATTTTACTTTAATTGGTAAACTGTTCTTGTCTCAACCCACAAGCTTTCTCCCTTTTACCCTTCCGATTCTCTCCCCCATCCCACCAGTGGGGGGGAGTGAGCGAGGAGCTGTGTGGGCTTAGTTGCTGGCTGGGGTTAAACCATGACAGCAGCTTAGAACACAAGAGACTTTTCAACATTTAAGCATCAAAATAGTGTGAGTGCTAGCACACTTGTTACTATACAATAGCTCAAAGACTTGCAATGAATAGGGCTATCATTAATACATCAGGTTTGCAAAGCTAATGAATATTGTGCTGTTTGCCACAGAGGATACTCCCAAGTGCAACAACTTCTATTAGTTCACCCTACTCTTAACAGACCTAAGAAATACCACTCCTGACAGTACCAGATGGACGGCAGGTAATGACAGATTTGGCTGCATCTTGCCCCTCTTTGGACCTCGTGTAGCCCTTAATGAAGGAATAATGCAAAGAGAATGAGCTAGGCTGGTGCAACAGCACCAGGCTTCACATTCAATCCAAAACAAAATAAATTGGCTGGCTGCAGGGCCAAACTAGTTACAGGTAGCTAAAACAAAAGTTACATATAGCCCATTCAGTTTGCTCTTCCTCATTAAGAGGAAACTCTATCAACCAAGGCAGCTGGTCACTTAGAACTGCAAACACAAAACCAAGGTATTTCATCTACCTTCTGTTGTATAAGGAAGCACAAAGGGCCAGTAAGATACAGTTTTCCCAGTCTCACAGCAATGATGAGGATACAAAAATGTTAGCAGCAGTGAAAGCTGTTTGTGTCTCCACAAAGCTCAATGTTCACTTAAAACTGTGGAGAAGTAGCTCATATGCTGCCTCCTTCCCAAGCATTCATTTAATCAGGGCTATCCAGCCAACTCTAATACCAGGCAATGACAATGCCTTAGCCAAACTTGTGTGAAATTCAGTTACAACACAGTGATTGTCTTAGCATGCCTCATTCCTCCCTGGCACTAATAAAGCAAGTATCTCGTCCTTTTGTCATTACCATGGCTGACTAATATGCTTTCATACTATGATTGAGCTATTTAGCCATCAGCATAATTTCATGCAACTTTCTGTCACTAAGAAGTGTTTTCAGTTAGCTCCTTGTAAGACCAATCTTCGTAAGACAACAAGGACACATGAATTATCCTTAAAGAGCAATCAATTCAGAAAACTGCTTTAAGCTAGACAGTCAGAGCATGCTTTCAGCTTATTAGACAGTGGTAAGTCAATATTAAGTCATACCACAGAGCCTATCAGTCTCCTTACAGTGGTTATGTCCTATTAAGCCATAATTCAAAATGGACTGCTGCTTTAAGTTGCCTCTAAGTTCAGAGCAAGGGCATATTAAGAGCATTAACAGCTTTATGAGATGAGCTATCAGAATAGAAGTTCCTCTTCAGAGAAGAGATAAAAGGAAATTAGAGACAAGAAATCAGAAGTATTAACCTAGATTAAGGTAAGGTTCCCACAGTAGAACAGCACATTCTAAGTACAGAATACTTCTATCTTACCTGATAGACATCTCCATTAACCACTCCATCAACAGCACCTGTAAAGAAGTGACTGTAGTTTAGCCATTTGAGAAAAGACAGAACAGCCAAATTAACACAAGGTCATTTCTTCATCATGAGAACGTGTTTCAGACTACGTAAACAGCAGAGCTGATACTGCTGAGAAGCTGCTACAAGCAGTGTTCTAAAGTTACTCTCATTTTCTCCTCCCTTTCTTAGAAGCTGGCTACTAGACAACTGTTCAGAAGTTAAGAAGCATGGCTCTCACTGTTTTAGTCTCTACTTGGAAGATTAACAATCCTGCAGCCAATACTTAGTAATTCTTATCCTAGTTTGATTACCTCCTAATTCCTAATCAGCTCAAAAGATAAAGCTAACATTCCTACCAAAGTTATCTTTCTGCTACCTTCTCTGATGACATGTTTGATAGTTTCCTACTTCAGCTGCAGTATTATTCCCTCTGAAGTGACACTGGCAGTAGAGCCTCAGGAACAGGATCAGCTAGGAATCTTTGCCACAGAACCCTAAAATTTCATCATACGAAAACACAGCCATAGGGAACACGTGTCAGTTGTGAGACAAACATTTGAGTTTGTGAAACTATTTAAATCTCCAGACTATGCAAAACGCACAAAGATTGTCAAGAACTGCTAAATCTCAGCAAGGCATCTCTCTGAAACAGGGCTACGTAACATCTGCGTGCAGGATATAAACAAGTCATGTTACTACCTTTGTCTCACCCATAATGCTACCATGGATAAACTTATCACACAGAAGTGTTTCTGCCATGTTAATACACTCTTCAATGAAAGAAGAGACTGTACAAAACTCGCCTAATAGTAGGCAGAAAACCAAGTTATCTTGTACCACCTTCTTAAATAAGATAGCTAACTCACCTAAAACTAAGAGCATTATGCTGCTGTATCCTCTATTTCTTTGTGGCTATGTATGCCCGAGCTTCATGCTGGCATTAATGGCACACAGGAAGCTCTTCATACTCCCTTACCAGGGAACTAGGCAAGTATTATTAAGTCCTTATCCCTGAGCCCTGAATAGCAATTATTAATTGTATTAGGTAGAGGACTGTAAAGTCATCAGTTCAAACATGGTAGTTAAGTTAGAAGATACTAGTCTCCAAGAACATAGTTACTAGCTTCAGTAGAGGAAGACTCAAGTTAACAAAAAACTAGCTTTTCAGATATGAGAACTTAGTATTTTATAACTAGACTCCTGTATCCGAAAGATGGTAGCTACTTTGTCTAATTGCTACTCCTCTGCAAGTTACAGGAGCCAAAAGGAACTGGTTTGAGAGGCACATAAAGCTAACAGTATCTGTCCGCTTCACTGCAGCTACCCTGCACATCACATCATCGGTCTGGAAGCTCCCTCAAAGCAGATTTGTAGAGATCACTGCACACACACTGACTTGGGCAGTTACAGCTACGATTAACAGTTCTACTAAATAGGTTTATGAAGACTAAAGCCCAAAAGAAAACATGCTTACACTTCACTTTCCTTCAATTTAAGCCCATCTGCACTACATACACATGCTGCAGCTGTTCACCTTGTTTTGACAGGGCTGGAATTAAAAGCTAAGCCAGGGTCTATAACTCATATTGACATTAACAGCTTGAATAAGCCAGCTGCCCACTCTGCCTACCTTGGAAGAGCAGAGAGCAATTCTCATGTTTGGACAATCGAACTGGAGACACGAGTTTATTGCTACAACATCCAAGAGAGGCTAGCCTTTAAATATATGTAATTCTCATCTCCAGAAGGCAGGCAGTTGTTTCATGAGACACACACCTTGGGAAGCACTGACTCACCAGCTAGGTGAGAGGACTAATAAGTCTTGAAGGTTCTTCCAAGAACTGTGATAATATGATTAACTTTTCTTGTTACACCAAAAACCATTCATTAAGGTCTTCAGTAATCACGCTGGTAGTCTGCTGAGGTAAAAGGAACATTATCATTGCTGAGGGCTGCAGCTGAGATAAAACAGATGTGTTTGTCTTACAGCCGCTTTTCTTCTGTGTAGAAACAGCCACTAACTGGCACAGAGCTAAGTATTTCCAGAGGGAACTCAGGTCAGATGCACTAAAAGTATTAAAACAAACTTCCCATCTGTTTTGAGCTTCCTCGAACTTGTGATTAAGATGCAGAGTCAGCATGCTGACTGAGCATACCACAAGCAGAAGAGGAAATGGCACTCTACTAGCATGCTGTTTTATGCCAATACAAGTATGCTAACTGGAGCCAGACCAATAGTCAAATGTCCTCTCATTTCAGCTCTCCAGTCTCAATGTGTTTGCTTCTGAACTTAAGATAAAGCTTTATTTCTAAGGATACTGTTGCAAAGAACGTGTCCAAACATCTACATTTCTGTAACATACGCTGGCAATAGGGCAATAATGAAATTCCACACAGCAACCCAGACAGCTTTTAGAGTCTGGAAGGGTTCAGAAAGCATAAACCATATCAGCTATCTTGCATTCACAGGAGAGAAGCAACAGTCAAGCTTGCCAGGTACAGACAGCTAGAATCAGTGCCCTCCACAGGCACTAGAGCTTACAAAAGAAAGGGCTTAGTAGCTTGAAGATAAGTACAACAGTTTTTCCACTTCAGTCCTACAAGTCAACGTATGGCTTCACAGGCTTATCACAATGATTATCTACTCTGAAGGTACTACTTGCATTAATACCAGACTCAGTACTGCTTGGCATAAAAGGAAGTTTGCTTAGCCTTGTTCAATAGCCTCTCTGAATTCTTACTCTCAATGCAAAAGAAGACAGCTATCAGAACAGTCAGAGGCAGGACTTTGCAGAGGTAGCTCTTCCAACACAAGTCCAACCATTTCCTAATACATGGATTAGTTCCTCCTGAGGTCTTCCTATCCAGCTATGCTTTGCACAATATTCTCATGCAGGAGAAATGAACTTCAGTATGACCATACACAAAAGTATTTTTAATGAGCTACTTTCAGCATCTCTTTTAAATAGTAAGTACTCTACTTCTTCATTGATACTTTGAGTGAACTAGTAGCTATAGTTAAAGCAACAGAAGAACATAACCAAGTTTAACATAGTCTGGCATAAGGTTAAGTAACTTCACCACTCAAGGCCTAGTTTCCCATCCTTTTCCTTTTGGGTATAGATCATGCTTCCCGTTCACCCACCTCTCATCAATAAGACGATGAGAAAGAATTTTCTCTGAAGTTTTTGTTTAGCTAGGTATGCAAGAAACTGAGGAAGAAATGGTTTTTCTAGCCATAACTCATTCTCATGCCTGTGTGCAAAATAAAGGCAAGCAGGTCAGGAAGAGTGCTTCTTTCCTGTGTTTTAGTTCTAACCTGCTGTTATACCAAAACCCATTAGAGTTCCCTCATTTTCAATACAATCAATAGGCTAGTACTAGACCATACCTTCCTCTGTCTGCAATAATGCTGTGCCATAACAGCTTCTGTAACTTCCCAATAGATGTAGTATTTTCTTGTAAACAGAAACATTGTTTTTTTCTGCCATAAGCTTCATAATAATGCGGTATTACCACGAGACAGCAAATACAAGTTAAACAGATACCATCCCTTTATTATATCTTTCTCAGAGCTACCTTATGGTGCTTTGAAGCCTCAAGATACTGATTGCATAGCAAAACTCAGAATAATAGCTGTTCAAACAATTAAGAAAAAATATCAATAGTCACAAACAAGCATCTCTTTCTGTCTGTGGTGCTAACTAGAGAGACAGAGGAACCAATTCTTTCCTAATCATATTTTCAAGCAAATTGATATTCAGTCCCTGAAAGGCTATTAAATGTGGTTTATGGACAAAGCACCAAATGCAATTAAGTTTCTTAATTCCTAGAGAAGCTCATGAGCCTCTTCAGAAGATGAAGAAACATCGTTCATTCAAGTTAATATAAAAATGACAGAGCTTGAAAAGGCAATGTTTGAGACTAGACAGCCTTCATTAAACTTGTGTGTATTTCCATGATTGTTAACATATAAAACTGCTTGTCTTTGAATGTAATTCTCCATAAGAAGCTACTCGACAAGCTGTCACAAGGTTTTTATATTGACATACAAGTTCTAGAACCCCCACACTTCAACCTAAACACACTCTCTCCTGCTCAGAGGATGCAGCACGTGAACTGCTATAACCTGAAGACGTCCTATTGTCAGACTGGAGAGAACTGAAGAATTTGACTGTAAACAAATGCAAGCATTGATTTATCACTGAAAAGGAAATCTCATAAAAGACCAAGTTACTGATAACTAGGAAACAGAAATGTATTACTTGACTCATACAGTACTTCCTGTTTTCTGAAGCAGCAATTATGCTTCATCTTTTGGGAAATAAGAATAGTTTTCACATGCCCAGGAAACTTGAACAGGATAGCTATTTACATAATAGCTAGCTGGCTTACTGGTTCAGGCCAGTATTCCAACCCTGACCACGGCAATATGAAGTGATGCGAGTGAGACACATGATCTTGGCAACATTCTGCCATTCCCCCCCATACTCACCCAGTATCCACCATTACTACAATTAACAGAAATATACACTGATACCAGTTTCCTGATATTGATATTAACAGTTCATGAATTCAGTGCTGTCCATGTAGTTGTCTAATCTTTTTTTAAGAGGCTGCAGATTAAAAACTGCTTGTTGTATGAGACAACATGTTTCTTTCAAGTGTATTCAAGAAGTTGGCAACTGCTTCTCACAATATTTGAAGTTAAGATCTTCAGCCTTCAGTTGACAGCTGCCTGAGTTATGACTTTTGGCCCAGTATTTAGAAAGAAAACTTATCTAACAGACCTGTAAATAAGAAGTTCAAAAAGGTTACGGTTAAAAAAAGTAAATCCACAAATCCTTGATCATGATGCTTAAGGATTTACATAAGAATTTGTATTATTTCAAGAAGAAATTTGCGTTCACCTATTTAACTTAATTACAAAACAGTTTAATAAACTAATATGCACTAGAGACTAGAGCTGTCTGATATTTGTTAGGATACTGATCAAATGCTAAGAAATCTGAAACACAAATGGCAACAGAAGTCATTAGTTCATTCGTCACCATGCCTGAACCAGTACATTTTGCACTGCTGCAGTCTGCACTTTTTAACAGTGAGTGAGTACAGGCTCCAACAGTCAATAAATGGATGTTCTGTTAAAAAATGGGACCACCAAAAGTCCACAAGCACTATCTGCTATGCCTATTTAACAGGCCAGAGCATAAATGCAATCCCAGTGCATACAAGAAAGCACAATGACATACAGATCACACCTAGACTTCCCAGATCCTTAGATCATATTATCATATTCGTTATTTTATGACCCTCTTTCTAGAGAAAGTTCTCCAATAACAGTTTTGTATTCCATGACAAATGAACTTATGTGACTTAAGAAAAAACTCTTGAAAACCAGCTTAAGAACTACTTTCACATATCAAGCCAATCTAGAAGTATTTAACAGGTTGACTTTTTGACAAGGAATCACCCTGCAATAGCCACACTGCATTCATGTAGAGAAGGTATGGATCTAGCTAGTTCTAGCACCCTGTGAGAAAGGCCAATGTTAGAACTTTCTCCAAAGAAGTTAGTCTTCAAACAGCTACTTTAATGTTCCAGAGCATGTTTGGAATGTAAAGACCATATAAGGCATAATGTTTGTCTGAGGTTTCTGAAAGAGGGGGGGTTGTCCACTGTGTCTGTTTCTGCATTATACATATAATATGGAAGTCAAGTTATGTCTGATACCAAAACAGGATGGTATTCTGATAGCAATTATCCTCCCGTTCTAGTGCTTGAGCAAGTCACTCTCCTGTAAATACCCTTTTTACAGGAAGTATATAGTCTGGATGTTTTGAACTTCATGAATGAGCTGACTCTAAGGGCATGCTACTGCTAAATAAGCACTGGAAGCAACAGGTCTCCATTACTCAGTTGGAGCTGTGGGCTTTATTCCAAGAGATAGTATGAACCTGCATCCTCATACAAAAGATATGCCAGTAATTTCAGTAATCAGGTTGCATAATGAAGAGTTAATTCTAAAGATGTTCCAGCAGTGAACTGGGGAGCAAAGTTATTCAACTTAGTCTGAAGAAGAGTGGCATCTTCCTGAAGCAACAATGGAATGTCACATGAGAGTAAAATATGTTCCTATGGACCCAGTGACAAGTACAAGCAAAGTCTTCCAAGAGTGTTGACACATCAGTTAAGCGCAGCATCATCCTACATTCACAACTCCTTTCCACTTAGACTTCAGTTAAAAACCCCAAACCTTTTGTAATTAGAAGTGTTCATTCAGGGCTGCTTTAGCTACTGTTAGACTAACTGAAAACAAACTAACCTCTAGTTCCCAACATACACAGCCACCCTCCTCTGAATGTAACACTGTGCTCTGCAGTGTCGGTTTTCTCACATTCAGTACAAAGGTTGCCAAGCAATAAAGGCTAGAGGCTTTGTAAAATTAAACATTAGCTCAACTGCTAGCATACTTTAAGGTCACTGCCTCTGAAGACAGAAACACAAGTGGCAGAACAACATATTGACTTATCCTGCTTTCAGTGGATCTTCATTTCAGGCAGGCTCCTGGATTAGATGTGATCAGAGTTACTCAGCAGTGTTCTCAACAGGCTACACTTCAGCAAGCCTGGGCACCCAGGCATCTTTAGAAGATATAAAGACCACCCCGTCTGAGGGAGCAGAGATATAACTTACACAAGGCAGAGCACACCCAGGACGACCAAGACGGCAAGCCTGCACGGCCCAGACCTAAGCTCTGGACCATCGCCGGACAGGCAGGCCCCGCTCACCGGTGGCATGTGCTCGGGGCAGAAGGAGGAGGCGAGGGCCCTGCCGGCACCGTCCCCTCCTGGCCACGGGGTCTCCGAGGGAGAAGCAAAGCTGTGAAGCCCCGCCAGGCCAGCACCCTCTCCTCCCCGCCCCACCCGCCGTCCCTCCCCGCGTACCCGAGTCGAGGCCCTCCGGAATCTGCAGTGCTGCCGGCACCTCGCCGCTCTCCAGGATGCTGTAGCCCTCGTCATTCTCGATGCCCGCGATCTCGTTCTCCTGCTGCGCCAGGAAAGCGGCGGCAGGATCCTCCTCGGCGCCATCCAGCGCCCCGTTATCGGCGGCGGCCGTCGGCTGCTGCTGAGTACCGAAGAG